GGACCCATCTTTTTAGTCCTTTAATGAGAAAATGAGTTGGAAATACTCCTGTTTTTAGACCCAAAGACATGTTAATTAGTGCAGAATGCTTCTGGTCTGCTAAATCCGTGCATGTTGATGCTGACTCACTCAAGTAGGCAGTCGTATCTCCAACAGCGACGGCAGAAGCAGGTTAGAGAAACAGCATAATGCAGCACAAGAAAGACTGGGTCTTTTCATCCCATCCGAAACTTCACACAACACAAGTCAGCCAAGCCTAACATGCCTATTTTTTGCCTCTCAGTCTTGCTCGCCTGCCCCCATTCAACCCTAGAGAGTCATTCAGATCTTTGGTTTCCACTCACCTTCTCAAAACAGCCTCCAATCATTCCATCTCCTGCTTATCGCCGCATAATTGGAGGTACAGCAATTAGTGAGCTCTGATTGATCCAAGTATGGACAACACCGGACTGACGCAGCAGTTTAGCATGGGGCTAATTCTCACATCTGCAGCCTGTGTAAGAGAATGCTAAATAAATCAGAAAGAACAGAACAGCACATTTCACTCTCCGACCCTCAGAAAGTAGCTCAAATGCGCGCCATTATTGGCATGTTCACTCGTACTGGCCACTGAAAAGTGGGTTGCAGTGAAATATAAGTGTCCAATTATTCACACTGTAAAACACCTATCTGCTTAGCCAAGCACCTAGGGAAATTCAATAAGTTGTTCCACAGATGAGGCTTGGCTTTTACTGGACACAGATTTTGTCGGCATCTATCACAGAGTCATGCAGATGAACTAGTCTGCCAATACAATGCACCGGACAGGGGAGGAAAATAAATGGTGTGCTCTCTCAGCAGGCCTTAAAATTAAAGTGAGACATTGTAGGCCAACCTGGCATGTTGTATTTGGAAAATAATAGCCTTGTGTATGCACATTTTTGCTCGGGGAGCATTACTTTTTAGGACCGATCGGGTTTGAATTGCTGTATACTATTGGAAGGATGCCTCAAATCCTGTGTGAAAGCTGTTGCCTGTAATCCTGCTAATCCTCTCAGGTGTGGCATTACTCACAGGAAGGTAGCTTATTGGTGATGGGGAATCAAGGCCAGGGCATCTATCAAACATGCACCAGGGAAAATGTGCAGGCAGAGTTAATTTAAGCTGTTTAAAGCTGTGAAACTGTAAAACTGTTATACAGTATTCGCATTTGTATTTGTCCCATAGTCTTGCCACAGTGGAAGTATACTTCTAGTGGTTAGATACAGAGGAAGATCCCATCTTGAATTCTGCCCTTGGCACTTCTTAGTACCTCCACTGAGCCCTTGGGAAAGGCACTTACTCTCTATTTGCTCTGGGGGCACCACACCTGTGCTCAAACATCCTCAATTTAGTGTTATTCAAGACAAAGATTTGCAAAGGGGCAAGGTTGACTGCTGTCTGTAATAGGTGAAGTTTAACCTCAATAAATAGGGGGGTGCACAATATATTGGTACACAAACATGATGGTTCGGTACGTACCTTGGTTTTGACGTCATGGTTCGGTATTGTTTCGGTACAGCAGGGGTAAAAATTAAACAAAAAAATTGCTTTTTTTATTAAACAGTGGTTTACTGGTCAAATTGCTCTTTCTTTAAATAAATTATACTATAACTAACATTTTCCTAGGGATTAAAATCTAGGGAGCCCTTTAACAATACTATAAGTTTACAATTAACAGCAGAGCCCAAATTCAATTACTATTTAGCATTGCTGTTTGAACTGAGGCATTTATACAGGATCTGTCTTGCCACATCAAAGAGTGTTATAGTTTGAATTTCCTGAATAATGGACGTATTATGAAAGATGAGACTTCGTTTCTTATCATAAGTAACAGTAAATAAAACTGGAAGTTTCCAATGAAGTGCAGTGGTTAAAACAATGCTATATTTGTTCGGTACACATGCGCACCGAACTGAAAGCCCATACCAAAAATTTTCTGTACGCATACGTGTACATATTTGGGATCATTACATACTGTACACAAATTTGTTTATTCTGCCTTTCTATGTAGAAAGGATCACTTATGAATATGTTATTTATTGTCACCTAATATTACACAGTGTATTATGTGGCTGGTACACAGTGTATTTGTATGACCCTCTGCAGACATGCTGTTATGGTTTTCAGGCAGGGCACAGAAGGGGAAAATGCGATAATCGGTGGTCATGATGAGTTAAATGTCCCCCTTGGCTTGAGCGGCCATGTGGTTCTTATATACAGTTAGGAGGGAACATCACAACTCTTCGCTGAGGTTTAGTTGACTAATCAAATAGCCCTCATTCCAAAGTATTTCAATATATATGTAAAAATGAACTTAAAAATTTTTAAATTATCATGGTTCCTTAATGAATAAATGTGAGAACAGTGTCTTTTTGAATGACAGCAGTAATGATATTTCAATTCATACACTTCATTTTCTGTCAAGTTTTGCCTTGTGTTTGTTGCTAGTGCTAAAGCATTTTCATGTTACATGGGGTGTTTGCATGTAACGTGCTGTCACTTACATGACTGCTGCAACCTTTCATGCCTGTGCGCTTTGACCACAAGAACATCTGCATCCTTTATGAAACTCACGTCAGAGACAGAGTGGGAGAAACCCGCAGCGTTAAACAGACACACATGACGGGTCTATGTCAAATGCGTGTTAGAAAACTTGTATCTACAGTATATATGGACAGCTTGTGTATGCCACGCATGCTTAATCCACACTAATTTAATTCATATAAATAGCTTTATGTGCATATATGTAATTGTGCTGACATGCATGCATTTCATTTCCTCCGTAAGCTCTTTAAACTCACACTCACACAGACAAACAGAAAGGTCATGTGTCATCAATAAAGCAGTTTATTGATGAGGGTGTCATTACACTGATAAGTCCATCAAAACGACAAACTGCGCTGCTACCATCATTATGTACACAAAAGTGCTTTCATTTCTATTTGTGCTCAGTACCTGCTGTATGATACTACAGCACACTACGGAAGCAGACATAACACATGAATTAAGCAATACTAATTGTCCGAAACTCTGTTGAGCTAACATGTTGAAGATTCCTGTCCATTGTAAGGTTTTGTGCACAAAGTTGTTGTCATTTTTCCTTTTTTATTGCTGTGCGGTGAGGAGAACGAAAGAATAAAAACCATCACAATCTATTACACACAAGCCTAAAGAAAGTTGTGCAGAAATATCTTTTCCTAACAGTTTCTAAAGAAACAGTTCCGCCAAATTGAAAATTTTCTCAACATTTACTCACCCTCATCTTGTCCCAAACCCATATGACTTTATTTTCTTCTATGAAACACAAAAGGAGAAGTTTTGAAGAAACTCTAGTACACACAATGAAAGTAAACAAGGGTCTGCCAAGTTTCAAAAAAACAACAACCATAAAGCATCACAAAATTTGTTTATACAGCTTAAAAGTAAGCCACATGGTAACTTTTTGTGAGAAGCAGAAATTTTTGTAAAACTTAAACCATTATTTACTGAAAGTCTTGCTTGACCGCCATGGTCGCTATTTACTTTCATTGTATTGGAAAAGAGCAGCTTGGACATTCTGAAAAAAAAAGGGGGAAAAAAAACTCCTTTTGTATTTTAAAAGTCATACATGTTTAAGCCTGAGGGTATTTTGGGGTGAACTCTTCTTTTAAGAACATGAATATAGCACCAATACAACCATGTCAACATCTCTTCTGCATGTATTAAACCCTTTTTGTGTGAACTCAAACACAACACAGTCATACTTTATGCATATGCCTGTTTGACACAGCGAACACAATGTTTGCTCATCAGATCAGACAGATGATGCGGCCATTCATGTAAAGGCAACAAAATCTTTTTGCTTCAGTGTAATCATGTACAGCATGACTTTGATAGACCTGGATGACAATCGGATAATACTGGATAACAGTGATTGGAATTGAAAGATCCAGACTGCAAGATTTCAAACAACATATACTGTGGATTAAACTTCAAAAGTCAACTTTTGATTGCATTAGGAATAAAAATAATAATAATAAAAACTAGTGGAAAATAGGAACCTTATATTATTTCCTTTGAAAAAATATCAGAGAATTGGACATCTAACTATGAAAAATTGTAAAACAATGCATTTGAGGCAACATGGTTATAGTTTGGCCACTTATTGATTCTGTGTAATGCTTTAGCTGATGACCCCTAATGTATGTTTCACAAGCATTTCATATCATTGTCACATTCAAAGCCGATCATAGGGAATCCGGCATAAGATTTCTTACCTAACAGTACAGTCTGTAATAGCTGAAACAGTGCCATGCTGAGATTATAGATGAGTTCTGGGCCTAAAAACAGTGTTGCTTTGGCAAGTATTAGGTCAGGAGCTTGGTTTTGTTGCATTTGTACAAACCACTGTGTTTGGTTTGTGAAGTCTTCTGTGATAGAGCAGCTTAGTGCTATGAAAATTCTTCAGTTCTGAAAGGGAAGTCTGGTCCATTTTATGTAATAAGACTCCTTTAGTGGCAATCACCGATTTTGGCAGCAGCTTTCCGACAGACATGGAAATGAGGAAGCGCATGCTTCACATATGACAGGTTTAGCAAAGCTGAGTCTGGCCTGTGAGAAATTAGCATTGTCCTTGGTTTTCTATCCCACAGAATGCTGTTCATTAATCGCCAGCCCAGAAGTAGGAGGTGCCGACCAGATGGGTATTTTTACACTGCTTCAGTTATATGCAGCTTTCTGCATTTATCACTTTGACACTAATTTGCCTGAGCCCATCTGTGATGTGTCGTTTCTATTTTCTGGCGCTCTTAGTAAAATATCAAATAAATAAATGACCATCAGAATTATAAGTCTATGAAATAAAAACAAACAATTAGAAAATGAGAAAATAAAAAATATATATACTGGCAAATTGTAAATGTAAAATGTCAATTTTTAAGAGACATTTAAATAGATGTTTTATTTACAGTTGAAAAATGCACCCAAAAGTATTGTGGCATTTTAAAATATTTAATATTTAAAAAGGTACAACTTTGCAGTTTGACCTTTGATGCTACATACAGTTATTTTGCAGATCATCTACAATGACATACAATGGCCAAACGGAGTGCATCTTAGTAATGGCTGAATCAAAGCAGATCCACAGTGGGCTGATGTTTTTAGTCCTGAGTCCAAGTAATTGACTGCTGGTGTTTGGTACTGTATTGGTTCAGTGTGTGACCTGATACATTTCTAGATGGAGACAGATTTGATTGACATACATCTTAATGCAAAGACTAATTCCTGTGTGTGGACTTCAGGTTCGGTGAGCCGTTTCACAATTCCAATAGCACAGAATCTGCTAAAATAGTGAACGTGTCGATTCCTGAAATCATTTCCCTGATGATTGTTGAAGGCCCAAGCCTTTTGTTTACCTATTCACAAGTCCTTATTTATAACACATGCAAACTTGATTTTGGATTTTCATAATTCAAATGACCGTATTATGAAATTAATGCCATCCATTGCCTCACTTATAATGAAACAAATATTTCCAGTAACTTGCGTTATTACTACAGTTTCTACAATTTTGAGCATTTAAAATGCAAACATTTCAGTTTTAAAGCACTAAATCTTTATGCACTATACATATATGTTGAGGCAATGTTTTTACACGTTGAAAATCCTCATATTTTTGTGTTTTATGAATGAAGGCCTCGTATCACAAACCACATCCATCTTTATATCGGTCCTCATGTTTAACGCCATTTCCCTTTTACTTGAAACACAAATACCTGAATTACATGTGTAGTTTGACCATTGAGTGTGGCGTCATTCTAAAAACCACTTGGCAAAACTAAGATTTTTGCAAACTATCATGGATTAGAAAAAATACTGATCGTACAGAACTAGTTCAGTCAACTCTTTCCTACAATAAGGAAACACAACACGATGGAGACTGTTTACGCCTCTGTGGTCAGTGTGACAAAAGTAGTCATTATGCAGTCCAAACAATGAGGTTAAACCAAGAGCAAATACACAGCAGGTCCATTTCCTTTTGTGTTCCTTCGCTTTGCACAGCATGCCGCTGCTTCTTCACAGGATGTTGCGAATCGACGAGGATTAACAGTTTATGTAAGATATGAACTGCAGGGTTTGTTGTCCCTTTTCTGACAACTATTGGTGGGAGGTAAATAATGCTGAACTGAAATTAATAAGAGCATGTGGATAAAAAAAACAGGACAGATCCTGTTTTGAGAAATCGGGGCACTCTGTCACTTCGGTTGGCTTCGGATGGTTTTTCCGGGAGAGAAAGAGACGCTCACACACACAAACACAGATCATCACAGATGAATTACCTACGGGAGGCACTAGGACCTAGACAAACGATCCCTGAGAGAGTCAATGGGGGCCAGCTGGCAGACACAGATTTCTCGCCCTGATCGGGGCAGCTGCAGCCAGACTGCAGACATGACATGCATTTCAGCGAATCAGTGCGGGAGCCCCCCCTCGCACGCCTCCCCACCCCGGCAGACGCTCGGTTAGCGCAGAGTCCGACCCCTGCATAAAAGCTGCTGCCTGCATGGACAGATGCACAGTTCCCTGAAAGAACCAATCCCAACCCCCAAACCCTAACCTTAACCCCCTTTTGTCCACAGTCCAAACAGTTCAGGCACACATTGACACACACATCCACACACACACCTGCACGCAGGGCCAATGCAGAGCTGCCTTTAAATCACATGTGTGTCTTAACTTCTGCAGCAATGGCAAGGTGATGAAAGTGCTATTACCTAATTAAAGAATATGATATGAATTATGTGTCTTCAGTGATTTTATCTGCAAGGTTACTGATGCTTTACAGTAAGTGCTGCAGATTTTAATAAATGGTTTCTCTCATCTTTTCTTGACAGATGCACAGTTCCCTGAAAGAACCAATCCCAACCCCCCCCCAAACCCTAACCTTAACCCCCTTTTGTCCACAGTCCAAACAGTTCAGGCACACATTGACACACACATCCACACACACACCTGCACGCAGGGCCAATGCAGAGCTGCCTTTAAATCACATGTGTGTCTTAACTTCTGCAGCAATGGCAAGGTGATGAAAGTGCTATTACCTAATTAAAGAATATGATATGAATTATGTGTCTTCAGTGATTTTATCTGCAAGGTTACTGATGCTTTACAGTAAGTGCTGCAGATTTTAATAAATGGTTTCTCTCATCTTTTCTTTTCTATTTCATCATTTTTACTTCAGTGTTTCAGAATATTAATGCACTGTCAGCAGACCTCTATATTTATGCACATTGAAACTTACGGGGGAAATCATATTTGAATGAATCTTGATTAAGCGTTTACATTATGAGCAGTCATGAAAATGACAGTGCTGTATAATAAAGGGCTTGTTCACCCAAAAATTGTTGTCATTTCCTCACCCTCATGACATTCTGGCTTCAGTGGACCACAAAGAAGATATTTTGAAAAATGTGGTTGACGTATGGACAAAAACAGCTGACACATTCTGCAAAGTACCTTCTTTTGTGTTTCGTAAATAAAGTAAGTCATGTAGGTGAGTAAATGATGACAGAATTTTCATTTTTGGGTAAATAGATACAAATCTTTACCTCTGGAGACATTAGCAGTTAGTTTAAGACATTTATCGAGACAGCTGGTAAAAATGCATCTTTTTTCATGCCTTGGTTTTCATGCCTTGGTTTCATGCGTCTACGAATTACACCCAAAGTCTGAAAGTCTTACTCTCCTGAACAGCTCTGCAAAGCCCTGTGTGTCTGTTAGCTAAACCAACAAGATGTGACATGCTTGGAAAGGAAAGCAATAGCACTTACGGAATTCATTGAGAAAAATAAACACATGGAAAACGGAATTGTCCAAGTACAACATGAACAAAATATTTTCAAATTGGCAGCTATGCAGGCCTGGCCATATTACAGAGGAGTCGACTTTAGTAGGTGAACACTAGGTCTGAGATGCTGGGCACGAGCAAGTCCCCAGAAATCATTTCATTCACCTCTGGAGTGCAGTAATCTGGGAAGTCAAAATGGGATCCTGAGTTAGCATTAAACGCTTCAAAGTCTTTGTCCAGAGCGGAGCAGTCCATAGGCATACTGTTAGAAATGATATGCAAGAGTTCCTCATCCAGTTCCTCATCCGAACATGCTGACGACACCAAAGAGGAGGAGCTGGTTGAGGTTGGTGTGGAGGATCTTCCAGATGTCGACCCTCGTGGTTCGCTCATGGTGGACTCTGGGAGAGCCTGGCACTCATAGTCCGAGGAGACACTCTGGATGCTGCTGGTCTGAGAGATGGGCACTTTCACTCTGAGCTCAGGAACTGGTTGCTGGTCCTCAGAGGGAATGGTAGCCTGCTGGTGAAGGACAAAGTGACCTGACGGGTTGTGATCGTCTTGCAGAGTCACTGGACTTTCTAAGTTTACATCCATCGTGTCATCATCGCTCATGCTCTCGCTGTAGCTCTTATATTTATTGCCAGTAAAGTTCATTTTAGGCTTGGCAGAAGTGGGTTTCATCTTTAACCCTTTGCAGGACAGCCCAGTAGATCTTCCTGAATGGGGCTTGCTGGATTTCATAGGCAACTTCTCTCCAAGTTTCACAGGGGTTGAGATCTTGCTCTTCTTCCTGGGCCGGTACTTGTAGTCAGGATAGTCAGCCATGTGCTTTAGACGCAACCTTTCAGCCTCTTTGATGAAGGGTATCTTCTCATAATCAGGCAGTAGTTTCCAGCGCTTTCCGAGGCGCTTTGAAATCTCAGCATTGTGCATGTCAGGCCACTGCTCCATGATCTTCCGTCTCTCAATCTGGGACCAGACCATGAAAGCGTTCATTGGTCTCTTAATGTGCCCAGTTGGAGTTTTGCACCAGTTGGGGTCTTTGTTAGAAGGTACATGTCCAAACACCTCAGCATCGTCCTCTGCCGCCAGTCCCACAAAGACCTCTCTGGTAGAATTGCCATCCATGACTGATGAGTATTTGTGGGTCCTTTGCTGAACCATGATGCAGCGCTAAGATCTATTCAGTAGGTTCCCTAGAGTCATCCATGACGAGACACTCTAAGATGCAGCAGCTCATCAATTCCTGCATTTATCCTGAAATAAATACAGACATGTCTTCAGTGACCTCTTATAAACTTATTCATCTGTTAAATACAAACTTTCATTTTTTTCAAAGACAACTGTTTCCAAAATGTAATGTTTGTTTTAAATAGATGGAATGTAATCTTTTCAATGGATAATGACATAAGTCTTTAAATGTAGTCATTTAAACATGTTATAGATATAGTTATAGATAGATATGTATATAATTTTTTTTAAATATTACTAAAATATTTACTTTTAATTTTATATATAAACACACACACACACAATTTTATTTTTTATTTTTTAATTACAATTCAGTACTTACAATAAAAACAAAGAGAGCTTCTTGCTTACTATGCACAATCACTTGTTCTCCTCACATAAGCATCTCCTCCGCTGTAGCAGTTGTGGTGGAAGTAAAAAAAAAAAGGCTGTCCAATGTCTGCCTGCTGTTTAATCACTCTGTCCTGCATGCGAACTCTCTCTCTCAGATGCTCTCTATCTTCTCAGTCACTCTCCCTATCCTCGTCTGCTGTTTCTCCTCCCTGCTCCCTCTTTGTAGGGACGCCCCCCCTCGTCTGCTGTTTTATAAACCCACACTGTAAACAGCTCAACCTTACCAGACACAGTCTCCTCCCCTTCCACCCACCGCTCTCAGTCGTGGTGTGTGTGTGTTTGTGTGCGTGTGGGTGTGTTAGTGCCAAGGATGGGGGGGGGTGAAAGTTTCCATGCAGTGAGGCACAGCTACAGTGCAGCGGATGGAAAGAGAAAGAGAGATGCTAACTGAGGAGGTGTTAAATGCTACAAGCAAAAACTTAAATTGGGACAAGACCTTCAAGGCAGTCTGGCACATGTTGAAACATGTATTCATGAGTTTGTGTGATGTAATTCTCCATTTCCAAAACTGAAACTAGCACACTTGCAAGCATGTATTCAATGTATATTTTTAGGTATTTGACGTAGTGTTTTTTTTAATCAGTATGAAGATTTTTTGTTAAATGTTTATGAATGTGTGTAAGTAAAAGTGTGTATTTTATGTATTTTAACACCTCTTTTTTCCATTTTATTTTGGGCTATTTTTATATAATAATAATAATTTGCCAAAATTGCCAAAAAAAAAAGAAAAGTAACTTTTTTGTGATTTAAATATGCTGTGTAGCAGCCAATCTTGTATTTTTAATTTATGCGTGCTTATTTCCCTAATTTATATGGAGATTTTTTTTACACTGTTAAATAGCAAATCACAAAATAAATATCCAATTTTATACTCTTCATTATACTCTTTGAAAACCATTGACTTTAGTTTTTTTTGTGTTTATTTTCATTTATTTAGACATTATCGTAGATAATTTTAATACTGGCCATTTATTGGTTATTACCTATAATATACAAATTATTATTTGCTTAAGAATTGTAATATCATTGCATGTCTAGTTGTAACAATCTTGTTTCTCAAGAAACAACTGAAAACTAATTTCTTCCGTGAGCATCTAAATGCATCCTAAAAAAAAAAAAAAATCTATGCTCTTATTTTCCCTTAATATCTTTCTGTCCTAGCTTTTATTGTTTTGAACGTTGACTGAAAACTTGTATAATGGGACACTTCTCATGTTTATTGCCGTCTTGTGAAGAATCGCTTGTTGTTTTCCTCAACTGTAAGTCGCTTTGGATAAAAGCGTCTGCCAAATGAATAAATGTAAAT